TGTTGGGGAAGCCGGGGAGGGGAGTACATGTTAGTAGATAGACTTTTTATTAATTAATTCTGCTGATAGAAGATGTCGATATATTCAAAGTTAAACGTGAATAAACTAGACAATTACTAGAGAAGGCCTTCTACTATCATGGGCTCATGGGACTTTTAGTCTTTAATTAAAAGCCCCCTGCCGCTGAACCTATGGTCTCGTATGCCCCTCTCCCCAGAGTCCTTTTAACACTAATTACATGCTAGCCTAGCTCTCAGCTGGAAGTGTCACTCTGAGATTGTACTGACAAGCCAGCCCTCCCTTCTGCAGAAATCCCTGCACGCGAGAGTGAGGTAAAGGCAGGAGGCAGCCTCAGTCAGCAGCAAAGCAGGAACAAGTCCTAGACACAGTAGTCTCACAAGAGACAGCATCTTGACCATTGTTCCTTATGTAACAATCAAAACACTTGTCCCACTGTCGTTAACACATTTACTTTTTGGGGGGATTTTTAAGGACAATGCAATAAGGAATGCAGCTTTCTGGAATTTACTGACTTGTCACTGTGAGCTTTGCTTCCAGGCTTGTGCAGGCAATGATAAAATAATATGACGATGCAGTTGACCCCTACCAAGATGTGGAGAAAACCAATGAAATTAGCTGGTACTAGGAGGAGTCAATTAATGTTTCAGTTGACCTTGAAAAAGACACATTAATGTTGCAAAGTCCTGACATCCTGGCATAAACACCAGGAGCCAAGGGGAGGGACAAAGCAAATTGTTCTGATGAAAAGAGACTAAAATAATGGCAAGGAAAAAAAGAACAGAGGCAGAAATAAATAATAAGCAGAAAATTGGTTTAGTTAGCTGGTAATGAGGCCTCGTTTGCGCAAAGAACAGTTAAGTCATGTTTCTTTTAAAAATCTTGACTTTCAATCTCATTCCGTGCGTACGAAAGAGCCAGGATGGAGATGGGCACCGTGGGGGTGAGGGAGAGTTGGGGGCTGAGATTGGTGTTTATGCAGTGTTGTGTTTTGTCACCCTGGGAGATCAGTGACCTTCTATGAGGCCCAGGAGTGGAGTTCCAGAGCTGAAAGTGTTGGAACAGACATGTGGCGCCTAGTGGCTGCTCTGCTTCTACTGGGCTTAAGATCGTGGTAGCATGAGTGAAAACACAGCTCCCGCTGCAGAGACATGGCTCAACCATGCCAAGCTACAGTGTATTTAATAAGTACAAGCATTTAGGATTTTTCTATAAAATGTGGTAAATATAATATCAATATCTTAAAAAAATTACATACTAAAAGAGCTGGAGGCAGTAAATTAAAAACTTAGTGCAATACATGCAAGTCAATGTAACTTCTAAGGAAGAATAAAATATTAGTGTTCATCACTGGCTTTTGGTCTATGTCCTTCCCTAGATACTGGAGGAGTGAAGGATTGGGTTTACCGATTTCGTGCTCTTCTCTTAAATTACTTATAAACAACTCAATTCTTTCCAGGACACGATGTTAATGTAAAAAATCAGTATCGTAATGTAGACCCCAGTGACTTTTCCATTTACAGCTACAGTATGCCAGTTGGACTATGCTTATGCCTTTTTTTTCAGTGCCCGAAAATCCAATTGATTTTCCATCTTTGCTCTAACATATCGACAAAACACGCAACAGGGTGGCTGCCTGTTGAGTTTTGACACGAAATCCCCAGAAGTCTAAGCTCTTTGCAGTGGATGAATGGTGCATACTGCAGTTGTAATCAAAGCATGTAATGCTAGTTACTGTTCAAAGGAATTGAATGAAAGGGATACCAATCAAACTCAGAAAAATGGGCGCTAACCAAATCGAAAAAACATTTTCCTAACCTGGCTGTAGAAGCAAAATGCATATATTTATATTAAAGTCACTTTCTGTGCGCCTTACAAAAAGGAAACAGTCTGCTCAATGACTGTTATGCCTGCTAAACTTACAACAGACGAATATGAACAAAAATACAACTAAACATGTATCAGAAGAGCACATTCCCATCACAATGCCTTTAAAAAGTATTCAACCCATTTCCAATGTTGAATTACAAAATATCCACATACATTTTGATTAATCAAAACTTGAATGCTCAAACTGAAGACTTTTATAGGTAAGCCAGCAAATAACTGTAAAGAAAAATCCCAAACTAAAACATGTGGACTGTATAAGTATCCATCCTCCTAAGTGATGACTTGGTGGAAGCACCTTCGACAGCAATTACAGCTGAAAGCGTTTTTAGATAAGTCTCTACCACCTTTGCACACTGGAATGTTAGATGTTGTGCCCAGTGTTCTTTGTAAACATACTCAAGCTCTGTCAAGTTAGAAGGGCACTGTTGACAGAGAATTTCAAATCATGCCACAAAATATCTGTCAGAATTTGAGAGGCAACTCCACAGTCTTCTTGGTAGGCAAACTATTGTGCTTTAAGATACCGTCCTGTATAAAAGTGAATTTTCCTCCCAGTTTTAAGCCTTTTGCAGAAGGAGCTTCTGCTCTAAGAAATGCCTATATTTTGTTCCATTCATTTCCCCTTAGACTGTACAAGCTTAGCAGTCCCTGGTGATGTGAGGCAGCCCCATAATGTTATAACATAGTGTTGCTACCACCATGCTTGACCGAAGGAATGGTGTTGACTGGGTGATGTGCTGTGCTGGGTTTATTCCAGACGTAACACTTGCACTTAAACCAAAAAGTCCCAATTTTGTCTCATCTGACCACAAAACCTTTTTCCACATGTTTGCAGTATCACTTAAATGATTTGTTGCAAACTCCATGTGGAATTGGAGATATATTTTTTGTTCATTACATACAGGCCAGCTCTGTGGAGTGACTAGGATATTGCATATTCATGGACATGACGTCAGTACTTGAACTTTATTGCTCTTTTAAGGATACATTTGGCCTCCTGAGGACATTCCTATACAGCTTCCTTCTTGACTGGCTGCTTAGTCCTTTGGGGGGACAGCCTAATCTAAGTGTCTGGGTGACATGATATACCTTCTGTTTCTTCATGATCTAATTGACTATGCACATTAACAAAGGGATATTCAGAGTCTTTTAGTCTGTGTTTTCATCATTTTTGGTCTGGTCTAATCAATTGTTGCCTGTGTTTTTATCATTTTTATCCCTGAATTGTTTTGGATGCTCCTTTGTCTTCATGGTTGAATCTTTGCTTGAAGGTTACTACCTGATTGAGGGACATTACAGAGGCAGATACTGTATATTTATTTTAAAATCATGGAAATCACAGTTATTGCACACAGAGGGCATTTCAACTAATTCTGTGACTTGTAAATCATTTATATTTTTTCACCTGTAAATGTGTTCTGAAGCACTGAAGTTCTGATTAAAACTGTGCACTTTAAAAAATATGTATGCATCATTTGTAGTTTATGAAAATGGGGGATTTCATCAGTTTATGAAAAGGGAGTGAACATTTCTGCACAGCCCTTAACCTGATGTTAAAATGGAAGGATATGCAAAAATGACTGAAAATAGCTAGTGAGTATGAGGCATTCTTTCTTCCCAAGCTGCCTTTGTGATGCAAAAGTTATACTCTGAGCTCATTTTTGGAATTGTCTGGATACAATGTTATATTTATTTGTATGCTTTAAACAACATCACTCCTGGCAGTTTATACTGTGGTATGGCCTCTTGATTTGCAAAGCAGCTGTTTATTTTTTTTAAACTATTGATCAAACTCCCAATCCTTTGAAAAAATAAAAAGAACAAAATCTATTACAATTTTGCAATAATTGAGCCAAATAACCTTCTAATTAACAACATTAAACAACATTTATATCTCAGTTGCTTTGTTGCTGATTAGCTGGGTAAGGATAGCTATGTGATGAGTATCAGGTGGGAACAACACTCAACTACTGCGTAGCCAATCCATCCCAATGGAACAGAAAGCTAACATCAAAACATCCTCAATGTCAAGTAGTTTCCCTAATACCTCATATCTACACTAAAGAACAGAAAAAAACTGTTTATTTAACTAACATTATATCAAACATTCTACTGTACTTTAATCAAGAGAATCCTTTGAGGAAATGATTAAGAATTCTCACTGCAAGATTTCAACACTGACTTCAGATAAAACCGCTTTTTAAACAGAATATTAACCCATGTCTGTTTCCCATCTTCAGCATCCTACTGCAACATTAACTGATCTAAAAAGACACATTTAACTGTATTTCAATGAAGCAAAATTGGGGCAGTAATTTACCTAAAACAGATTCAGAATTGGAAGCAAAAATGCTATCAGTTCTACAGTAGTTTAATTCTGAGCGTTAAAAATTGTGAGAGGCTTTCATCTTTTCATACAGCTGCTCATTAAAGCTGACTTGAAGATAAAAATAAATGATAAAAAGCATGTTTTATAATTCAGTGCCAAATAATGGACAGAATTTACTTGCAGAAAAAAAAAATATTTAAAAAAAATATTTGTTTTCTGGCCAACCAGTTTTCATCAAGTACCCCACATAAAAAATACTATTCAGTACTGTACAGGAATGCCAGAAAACTGCCAGTCTGATAGTCCTACTTACTACAAAACACATGAGCATTGTAATGGTCTTGGCAGCATTGTATCACTTTTTCTCAAGAGGAATAGCATTTTTAGAGAACGTATTCAGACTTATAAATTACTTCTTTCTGTCTTCAAAAAGGTTAAAAATTGATCTAAAATAACCACAAAACATGGGAAACTGATTCATTTTGTTAGTTCTTTTTGCTCAACTTACCTTTTAGTTCCATATCGACACTGGTATGTAAACAACATTTTTCTCTAAATAAAGCCATACATTGTGAATATTGATTGTTCATAGGAAGCTATTCAATAATAAAGGCTCAGCAGGCCTAAAAAAGTAATGTCAGAAATGTACAAAAAAACAAAAAAATCTCCTTACAAATTTACCAAAGTCAAAGTCACTCTGTATCAAAGAGTGGATCAGATTAAAAGACATCCACATGGGCAATGAGAGCAACAGAAGCCTCACCTGCTCCAGGCTCATCTTCTGCAGCTCGTCCTCCCAAGCTGCTCGGTCATCGTGGAGATAAGAGGTGGGGGGGGCCAAGCCCTCAAGAATCTGGGGGTCACGTTCTTGGCAGAGTGCGGTCAGGTGTCCAATATACAGCTTCAGCTTACTGCGGTTCTGGTTGAGGTCTAAAAGAGGGGGGATGATCTAAACCAAGGGAGGAGAAGGAGACATGTTAGAAAGAACCTTAGAGAAATTATACGGCATGGCGCCTTGAATAATGAGACAAAGTCCCACACACCTTTCTAGTTGCTTGAGATAAACATCAGACAGCATCCAGAGAAAAGACAACATGGAACACGAGGCAAACTATGCATGGAGTATATAATTCAACAAGGTTCACAGGACAGCTGGTGGAGAAAGGCACAGTACTTACACACAGAGCAGCTCAGAGGGAAAGGGCACAGAAGTCACATGAAGTGTGGCACACTGTCATAAGCTACAGTGGGACAGAATATAGGTATTCAGAGCCTGAAAGCCACAGGGAGCTCTCTGAGATCTCAAATGTGAATGTTCAAAGTTCCTTCTCATCTGCTTTAAAGAATGTCTCTCAACACTGACAGATTAATTTCTAGAGCCTTTTACAAAAACAAATATGGTGTGTGCCTGTGCCCCACTCAACTCAGTTGAATAAAATACCCTTTTCGGCCATTAGACTATTACTTACGACTTGTACTGGAGGCAATAGAGTTTAACCAAGGAACTAAAATGCATGGATTTAAGAGCAACTTAGAATTAGATTACTGTTTTACCCTGATTCAGAAATCAAACAAGAAAAACTCATGAGTTATCTAAGTTGATGTAGTCACTGGAATGAGCTAAAGGTGTTCTCTTTTCCGATACTACATTTGCAGTTTCTTTAGATTTCAAACATATTAATAAACTATTACTAAAGTCTATACAGTCATTATAGGATTTATTTGAACTCTATAAACAGCTTTACTAAATGAAGTGCAGGATAGCCCTCTTTCACAAAAGAAGCCTATCTTTTTTGTAATAACAACCAGTTGGATTTCCACTTGAAAGATTCTCATGGAGGCTGTTCTGTTCTGATCTTTTTCGAATGGAATATACTCTGCAACTGTAAAGCCCAGTGGCACCTTAAACCCAACCAGTGGGGCTTAAAATTCACTGACTTGTAAAACAACAGTTTAAGTTTCCATTCCAAAAACATTTACAAATTCAGGATAAGAGACGTGGAATTTAGTCAAACTGAAGAACTACAGTGGCAGAGAAGGCTTAGTGTTGGGTATCAAAGGTCCTTAAGGCAAAACGGGGAGAAAAAAAAACCTCTAACTGCAAAATGACACTTCCACTAAAGGCGAAGACCACTAAATGAAGGGGATGGGCTGGAGAAACAGGGCTGTGGAGAATATAAACATGAAACAGGCTCAGTGAAAATGACAGCTCTGAAACACTATCACCCGAGAAACCTAGAGGAGCCGAGCAGGAAAAAAATCTCCCCATGACCGAGGAATTTGAGTTAATCTGACCATTTGTTATTTTAACGAGAGAATCGCTGCAGTAAGGCAGCGGTGCTTTAGAGACCAGAGCAACGACATGAACAGACTCTCCCATACAACCCCTTTGACATGAGTAACATGTACGTAAAAGAAAAGAGTCCTGTGCTTCCACATCACTGCATGTTGTTACTGATACGACAGGGATGAAATAAAGCTGATAAAAGCCTTTTGTTGTGGTTCTTATCGGAGAAGTATGAAACCAGAAAGATATAGATGGATTCTGAGTGACCTATTATCAGGTTATGGGAGATATGAGGCTTTCAGAAAAGAAAGTGTCATCTTCAAGAGCTCTGAAGTTTTCCCTGCTGTGGTCATGTTGCCAGTGATTTATCTAGTGGTTCTGTTCTTTCGCTGGGTGGTCATTCTGAATACATACCCATTCATGTTTAAGCTATATTACAAGTTGAAAGAAAAACACTGCAATGGCACTCATATTTACTGTCACAAGAAGAGACATTTTCTATCTTTTATCATGTCATTCACTATCTTTAAGTGTAATAAATGTCAGTGGGTAATCTTTACTCATGTTACAATTATATACAGTATATTCAAATTTTATTGAATACTTATTCATCCTAGTGAGTGGTAGTGAAGCCTTCTAGTTAATGTAAGAAACAAGGAGAGAAAACTTTCTTTTACTCCATACAGCTCCAGATATTTATTTAACAAGCTATATTCAATAGACTTATTCAATATTTCTAATTCCTCAATTAATGTAAGTTCAAATAACCTTGTTCCCAAAAGACATACTTTAATGAAATGACTTGGGTGATCACTCTGCCTGTGCATTATATCACTGGACATGCATGCTTCTCAGCCACTCAGTGCTCAGGTGGACACTGATTCTGGACTGTTAAACTCCCACTGAGTTACTGTACCGTTGGACAGAGTGTGCTATATTATTTCAAATGTTTGTTGTGACTGGTTCCTGGAGTTGCTTCCAGTGTTCACAAGGCTGTCACGTCTTGTTTATGACCACTTTGTCTCATAACTTGCTGAGCCAGTTTCCACTGCTAACATATGAGCATCAGCCTTCTCTAGGGAACAACACCACAAGCCTCAATAACTCCACAGTTTCCACTGAGGAATGAAGGTGCTTGACTTTAGAGCTGAGGCAAAAGTAAAGGAAATAAGCAATTAAATGATTAAAGCACAGCTGCTCTTGAGGTGCCGTTTAGGTTACTTTCAGACAAAAAGCCGTCATTTTTAGGATGACCTTCAGGGTCAAACGTTGGAGTACCTCACACCTGACCTCTAACCCCTGCTATGTAGCAAATACAACTTTGAAAAACTACAGTGATCCCTTTGAAAGTTGTACTTTATCCTTGTGGTTGGGAGGTGGTGGTAGAGTGGTTGTCTTTTTTTAGAACTTTTAAAACAGCAAACATCCAGTTAAAGTATATGATTAAAAACAGGGGAGTCTAGTTACGCGGGGTCTGAAGTTCCTGACACAAACATAACATTTGTGTCCGCACACTTTATTAATTCTTATTATTCCATGTATCTTTTCCAGGGGAGAATGTTATTCTGTTTTTGTTGGCATACGGGGCTTGCAAGCCTTCTGGGTGTATCTCGGGAAAGGGAGAATTCCAAAGTGGGCTGCAGAGGAATGTCTCTTCCAAGCAGCCAAGACCCGTACTCTGGATTCAATTAGCCGGCACAGTTGCCTCTCTGACAGTGCAGAGGTATCGGTAACAGGGAGACCCGGATTGCTTGTGAACCCCAGGTCAAGGAGTGCTCACTGGTTCTCAAGAATTTCCCAACAAGTCTTGTTGTACATGTGAAAAGGCACTGGAAGGATAAGCCACTTCAACTACCCAGCAAGTCATTCCCCTTCTCCCTCAACAGGTTGTACAAGGAGAGCTGAGCACTGCTATTGCAGACTGAAGTCGAATGCTTGGTCAACCTTTCACGAATGTGCACCTCAGGGACCAAGAGATCGCTTCTTTAGTCCTTTCAACTTTTCCTGTGGAGGTGGATGCTCAGTTTAATAAGCGCTGTGGTGGATTTCCACAGGCTCACAGAGGCCCGCTTTAAAAAAAAAAAACTATCTTAGTTCATCCCTTGCCTCACAACAGGGAGCTCACTCCAGCTCACAAGCCAGGAAGCAAAGTGAATGAACTGCTTGTGGTCCTTTTCACTACATTTTCCATTCTGTCTTCCGAAGTGGAGTGAGAAAAAACACAGTGTACTGAATGTCCTGTTTCACCTCAGAGCACTCTGTTCTTTCTTGTCACCAAGGTTTCTCACTGACACCTAATGCCAATGAGATCTTAGGTTAAACTGAAGGATTTAAAGGAGATATAAACGTGTACCTGAATCCATGTACATAATTAAGCTAATGAGTAATTTTATGTAAAGATTATGTATGAACACACTGTAGGAAAAATGAGGCATACATAAAATTCCATCTAAATTAGGTGTACAAGTAAAAAAAAACAAAATACGGTCTTAGTTCAGCCAGAACAGATCCTCCTAGAGTATGACTTAACAGCCAAACACTGGCAGAAATTCTTAAATGGCTCTGATTTTTGGTTTTTACAAAAAGGAAGGGGACAGAAATGGCATAGAGCAATGCATGATGGGCCTTTTTTCTGTTCAGAATTATCAGATGTTGTAAAAAATCAGAGTCAACAGCCAATTCTGGATGTGTTTTTAAACATGAAAAACATACATTTGGCCCCAATAAAGCACAGAGAGTGAAAATGAATGAGCTCCAGTCCCCACTCCCCTGGGGACTGAAGGCTGGTACTGTAATCCATCTTGCCCCCATCAGACACTTCAGCTTGCTAATTGCAAAGTCAACAGAATCCTGCAGGGCTTTTACTTTATGTACTGATAAACAGTCTTCCATCATGCAACCAGCCACACAGGCCCTGCCTTCTCAGTCATGGCATGTTAACCGTGAGAAAGGATTATGGTGTAAGAAAGCTGGGCCAGGTCCAGTACACACACTAGCATATACTGTAGTACATGCTCTTCTGCTTAACTTTTGACTGGTTTCGTATTTGTTCTTTTACAATTTGAGTGTCATATTTTTCCCAGCTTCTCTGCAGAAGCATTTTTTTGTCATCTTTGCGTGTTTATGTAATGAAACAAAAAAAAACCTTACTTGATCATTGAATCTCTGCTCAAGTAGGTTTACCCTGAAATCCTTAATGCCTTAGTTGTGTTTTCTTACAATGGGGTGACTCTTTCATTTCTTTTCTTTTATGTATTTTCATTGTTTGGACTTCACTCAGCTGATGCCACAGATTATACTGTCATGAGGATGTGATTAACGCTTAATTAGGGGGTTCTTAAGATAAAGCATAGCTTGTTTTGTGAGAGGCTTTGATTCCATATTCACCATATATCTTCATTATAACATGTATCCCTTACAGATTTTTTCAAACCAAAAAGTATCTTATTTACCACCAACGGCTCTCCAAAGTTTCTTTTCTTCTGTGATACTTAGAAAAGAGTGCAGATTTATCTGGACACCTGAAGGCTTGTGACATATTAGTCACTGCTCACCTATAGCTAGTGTTCAAAATTCTGTATAGTTTCAATGTCTTCTTGAATTCTGAAATTCTGCCACACACTACTGCTGCTGATCCATTATCTGTTTAGTGTAAATAACCA